AGATAGATAATGGAGAAATGCAAGAGTATGAAAATGTAAGCAATGAATGAAATGAAAATTTCCTTATTTCAAAATTGAAGTTAATAAATCTGAAATGTCAAAATTTAAAAGTTAAAATTTGAAATTGAAACTTAAAATAATTGATCGCAAAAAAGAGTGATTGGAATAAAGCACGCAATTATCAATTACATTTTGAATCAGCTGTTAAACGACAAAATATTAGCAAACATTAATTGGCATGAATGAATATTTGTTTGCACTGAACATATGACGCCCTATTACGTTTTTACGACCGGAAAATATGTGATTGATTGGGAAACATAACTGGTTTACTTTTCATTATTTACCGGGGCGGTAATTACATAGATGCTTAATTATCCCATCTCATTGATTATGTATTATATATAAATGTAACAATTGTTGAAAAAAAAAAAAAACGAAATGAATTAAGAATGAAATTATTGATTGATTTTTTTAGGTTTAATTTTGATGGGTTAATATTAAAAAATTATATGAAATTTTTTCAATTTTTTGTAGTAAAGTTGTTTACATTGTAATCTTTTTTTTTTTCATCATAAATAAATAAATTAATTGCACAACACTCAATGATAGTGAAATTGAAAGTTTTCCTTTTCAATTTTGAATTTTTAAATATTCACGGAAAATGATTTTTAACAACTTAACAAACTTTTCATAAATCTAAAATAATAATTTTATGAATAAAGAATTTTTAATTAATTTTATCATTCTTCTTCCAATTGTTCTTTTAAGCATCTTTTTTTTTTTTGGTAAATGAGAAGTTAATATTTGTGTCGGAAAAAAATTCACAATAAAAATGTTAAACAAACAACCTGTCACTATTCGTCCTCTGCTAGTTAATTGTTTCATTCCTGTCCAGTGATTCTCACCTCACATTCTCTTCATCACAGATCCTATCGAATCTGATCTGTCCTTATTGTTACCGCTCTTATTGCTGTTGCTATTATTGTTACTGCACTTATTGCTGTCGCTGTTATTGTTATTGCTCTTATTGCCATTGCTTTTGTTATTATTGCCCCTGTTTGCTGTTGCTCTTGCTGCTGTTACTTTTGTTGTTTATTGTTGCTGTTTTGTTGTTGTTATTGTTCTGTTGTTGTTGTTGTTGTTATTGTTTTCACTATTGTTACTGTTATTGCCTAGTACTTTTACAAAAAAAAAGCAATTTTGTTGTTGCTAAATCTGTTGTTAAATCTTTTCCTTTCCTGTTTCTTTCTTTTTTTTTTAAATTGTCAATTGATCAACATCGATTAAAAAAAAAATTTATTCATCTAGCAATTTCCATAATACAATGATAATAATACGGTTAACAATATGAAATAGAAAACAGATAAAACAAAGTTGCCAACAAAAAAAAGAAAAGAAAAATTTATAAAATTTGCATATTATATGAAATTAGTAGCACCGATATATTTACTCAACAATTAACAACACATTTTACATATTTTAAATTATCATTTTGGAAAGGATTTCAACACCCGTAAATGTTACTTTTCTAATCCTTCCATTAAAATCATCGATAAAATGTGTTAAATAATACTAAACTTATGATTAAATGATTACGACAAACATATAATTATATATAATTTAATGATTATCTAAAGTAAATGTATTTAATTTGAAGATATGTCCTGAAATTTTATTTCAAATTTGATTATATCAATCAAAATTACAGAATAATGATTGGAAAGGAGACATTTGCATTCACTGATGTATAAATATTTTTAAGATGTTTTAAAAAATAAAAGAATGAAAGATCAGCTAAAAAGTATAAACATAACAGCAATGTAACATAAACAGTGAGTTGGTTTAATTAAAATTTTTGAAGGGAAAAATTTATTTGAATTATATGAAAGGAATGAATCGATGAAATTATTTGTTTAAATAAATTAGCAATTAAATGAGTTATTACTGCAGGAGCATTTTCTGTTTGTTTTTCTTTTTGTTTTTAAATATTAGTTTAAATTAATTCATTATATTATCAATCAATCATTAATAACCATATCTTTCAGTAATGCAATTCACTTTCTTTACCGTGTATTTTTTGATAAATTTATATCATGAAGTAGTACTGTAATGAGCAATACTATAATGAGCGGTACTGTGACGAATTTTAAATGAAGCCCAATTCTTGGAACCATATAGCGATGAATAGGAAAAACATAACGAATAGTGGTATAGCAATAGCAGCTGCTACTACTCGACCGAATGGTACTGCAAAAAAGACAAAAATAATAAATAAAATAAAATAAAACAGAAAAACAAAATTATAATTCAGCAATTTATGATAAATTGTCATCATTAACGGATAATGTGAAATTTTATCCAGAAAAAAACACGGATAGTTTGAAGTTTTCCATGTGGGCATCTTCAAAAAACTATATAAGAGGAAATATATAATTTCCGGTTGGTTTTCGATCATCCGGAAAAACGAAAACATTACAAACATTTTTTGTAAGCATTTTGTAAACACTTTTTTTCCTCGTACATTTTACATTAAAATAATACATTTCTTTTTTTTGTTTTGGAGGAGGAGGAAAATGTGAATTGCTTCTTCTAATCCTTTTATCTACCAATAAGCCATCATGAAATTGTTCAAAAATACCTAGAATTTCAACTTACAAAGCCAAATTTTGGACTAAGAATTAATCTTAGACTAAAAACCAATCTTAAAATATTTCTATTTTAAGCATATGTGAATAGCATTTCCAAAAAAGCTATGCAAATTTTAGCTACCCGAACATTTTCTTATTTTAAAAGACGAGAAATTTATTTTAAAATTATTTCAATTATTTTATTAAATAAATAGATGAAATCACTTATGTATGGATAAAAATGACACAAAGAGATAACTTTAATTAGATCTAATATTTATTAAATTCCAATTAATTCATTGTTTGTAATGTGAATTAAATAAAATAAATAGAAAATTTCGCACAACTTGAACAAAAATAAACATTTTTATCAAAAATAAAATTGTTAATGTATAAATAAATGATAAAAATGAATTTGGAAGTACAAATTTTAAATGCATTTGAAGAAATTAAATGTGTTTGAGAAATTTAAAAGAAAATGAATTTGAAAGTATAAATTTTAAATGTAATTCGAGTGAAACAATCGAAATTTTGTCACTGATAATAAATGGATTATTTATTCAAATCAAACAAAACAATTATGATGAGATAATGTTGATGATTCAAATTTTGTTTAATTTTTACTAATGGCATGGAACAATTTTATTTGCAAATCAAATATTTTGCAAACCAAATATACGTAATGTATCGTTTATCTTGATAAGATAAAAATTGTGCTTTATTTTTTTTTTGTTTTTTGTTTTTTTTTATTTTGTCATATATCTATATTATTACTTTTCATTTCACACCTAAACATAAACTTTACTTTTTTATTTTAATTTTGAATTTTGCTTCTTTTTATTCTAATTTTTTATAAATTCTATTTTTTATTTTTATTTTCCTAATTTTATTTTAAATAGATTCATAGCTAAAGATGCTTTATCTTTTTTTTCCAATTTATAAAGATTCTAAATAATAATTTACAATTAAATAATTTGTTCCAGAAATTTTTTAAACCTTCGTTATTTTGAATTTTAGAATAAGTGTGACAGCTTTTCATATGACAATTTAGCATGCTTAGCTATTGTCTTGATAATGTAAAGAGGAATAAATAACTCGAAATTGTATACTTTTTTAGAAAAGGGTTTTAAATTTCAATGATTTTTTTAATTGTTTAAAAAAAAAGGACAACATAAAGAGAAAATAATACTTCATATAATATTTCATTTTTTTTTTTGTTTTCCCTTTTTCTTGCTATTTCAAATATATTCTTAATAAGTTTGTTTAAATTTTTACCAAAAAAAAAACTTGTTAGCAAATTGCAAACTTATTTGATGAAATTTTAATAATGAAAATTAACGAAATTCTTACTTAATCTTAAATTAACAATTTTGAAATATGCAAATTCGATGTGCATTCTCAAGAATGATAATTAAAACTTGAACATATGTAATACTATCAACGAGGAATTTGCTATTATTATTTACAATCAAGTTTGGATGAAAAACTAAACGCATTGTAGGCAAATTAATTAATTAATTAGTAGTTAGGTGGGATATGCATTGCTAACCTAAAAATGACTATTATAAGAAATATCCAGGATTGGAAATCATGGATAGAACACTAAAATAGCAAAGAGATAATAAAAAAAAACAAACTTCAAGAATTTTTTCCCGGCTATATAATATATGCAAATAAAAACAAACGTTGTTTTTTCGGTAAAGTTTGTATATTCTGCTTTGAGATAATTTGTTCATGTGGCATTGGTACCATTACTTCATCCTGAGGTAATGGAGTTCGAGTAACAACCTTGTATTCCTGAAATATTTTGCCTATAAGATGATACAGGTTATTTGAAAAGGCAATATTTTAATCATTACTTACTGAGTAAAATTTAATGCTACTTGATAATAAGATTGAAAAAAATTAGATAATTAAAAGTTGATGACATTTTTTTTTTGGCTTAAATAGTGCATCAAGAAAAGGCAAACAATATCATTACAAATTAATCTAATCATTGAATTAAGATTTTCAAAAAAAAAGAAGAACAAACAAACGATCTTAATGAACATACATTGAGGTAAGTTAAAGGTGTAACATTTGAAGTTGGAATAGGCACAGGATTGACATTACGATTTTGTGATTTCTCATATTTCTCGTATGTTTCCCTGGATGAGAGGAAATCTGGTGCAGGAAGTTCATTTCTTCTAAAAGGAAATATTGTGATGAAATTTTGGTTAAAATTTACAATACGAATTGAAAATTAAAAATTTAAAATGAAATATTGAAAAGTGAAATAATCAAAGGTTTTAACATTTAATGAACTAAAAAATTAGTAGTTTATAATATATCGATCCTGGTTATTTTATGGTTTGCTATAATCATTTACTTAATAATGTCGTAAGACAAACGACAAATACTGGAAATGAAAAAGGCAATGAAAAGTTTCAAAAAAAGAAATCAAAATTTCGAATTTAATTTCTTTTTAGCCTTCATTTAAACCTAAAATTTACATAAAATTTTAAATAACAAATGAAATAAGACTTACTTAGAATTCATGCTTTTTTTTCGTTAATAGCTAATAAATTGTCATAATGTTGGAAGATGGAAGATGCAATAGAGGATAATATGAATTTTGTAAGCGATAAAAACATGAAAAGATTTTATGATTTTCATCAATTTTCTTTGATTGAGAAAAAAAATTGATGGAAAAAATCAATAATTAATATAAGGATTGATAAATAATAGTAAAATTATGCAATAAATCTCTCACTTTTTTCTGTAAACCCATTTCAATTCAAAAAAAAGGAAAATTTAATCAAAAATTTTAATCCTTAAAATTTTTAAAAAACCAATCAAAAGTCATTAAAAGAAATTCCTTAATAAATCCTTAAAAAGTCAAGTAATCCTTAAAAAATCAATTAATCCTTAAAAAATCAATCGGAAATTTTAATCCTTAAACCTAAAATTAATGCATAACAAAAGAAAAACTATACATATATGCAAAATTTAATATAAAACGCAAAAATTTTTTAAACATTTTAAGAAAGAATTCAATTTTGACTAGTAAAACTTAAATAGTATAACAATAATTGGATTACATAGATAGAATTACAAATTGAATAGATATACAGCCTAAATTATAATTGATAAAACAAATTCCATTAAAAAATTTACCGAAAATAAAGAAGGAAAAATTATCAAAATTAAAAAAGAAAAAAGAAATTAAAATTAAAATTAAAAAAGAGAATTATGTATACAAATACAAATGAATCAAATCAAATTCAAAATTTTATTCAAACAAAATTGTTGTCAACAATTTTTATGTATTTGAGAAAAATAAAAAATGATTGATTGAAAGGTTGCGAAATTTTCTTTTTCTTTTTCATTCTTTCTCTTTTTTTTTCCATTTTCTTTTTCCTAAATTGATAGGATGGATTGATTTTGCTGTAAAATATTGAAAAATTCACAGTTGAAGAGAAAAATGGCAAAAAAAAAGGGAGTGAAACAGAAAGAGGAAGATGAAAAGCGATTAAAAGGAAAGATAATGATTTATTGAATTTTTACAATAAAATTTCTATTCTTTGGAATTAGTTTCAGATTTAAAATTTCGAAATTTGATAATATAATGAATATGAGCAAATGGTTAATTGATTTAATATTTGGTATTTAAGTTTTTGATTTTCAAATTCCCATTCCTAATCAATGTATTTGTTGGTTACTAAATTTGCTTGGGAATATCAAATTATGCATTAAAATAAACCAGCAAAAAAAGAAAAAACTAATTACATTTTTTTCTAAGTAAAACTGTTAAATTATAACAAATAAAATATGGCCTGTTGAGGAATGAAAAGTAAAACAAATAAAAAAAAGAAATGTTGATAAAAACAAAAAGTAATTAAAATTTAAAAGTTGAATTAACTTTTTCAGTTTATGGCAAAAAAAAAACTATAAATTGTGAATTCAGCAAGTTATGATACTAAAAAAGTTGAATGTATGTTTTAAATTAAAATTCTGAAAAAAAAATCAAGAAAAAGGAATAATTGCAACAATATTTTTTTGTATTTCAATTTTTACTCTTTTGCCCTTCACAAAAAAAAAAATGTCAAATACTACCATTGTCAAATTACTTTTGAGGACAATTACTTTGGTAAACTGATATGCAAATTAATGGCATGCTCAAAAATTTTCGCTTTTTTTAAATCAAAAATTTTTTACCACCTTTCATAGAAATTAAGTATTTGCATGCTATAGTAACTGCATAAAATTGATAATAATTGATCGGATTTATCGTTGATTTCTTTCTTATTTTTTTATTAAAAATTTATTTATAATTTATAGGTGTAAAAAAAAAGTCTAAAATCAACCAGAATTTGCGATTATATTTAATTCCTAGTTAAATTGATTCAAATTTTCATATAAAAAATTTTTCATATAAAAAAAAAAGAATGAAGTAACACTGATAATAGAATGTTAACAACATATCAAATGATAATATTATCTATCATAAAGTATAAAATAAGTCAAGGAATGTTGTTAACATTTATTGCACTTACACTGATTATTTGTTATTTATTAGTAATATTTGGGAGTAAAACAAAGCAAGTAATATAGATGTAGTTGCAGTTGCAGTTGTAGCTGTAGTTGCAGTTGCAGTTGTAGCTGCAGTTGCAGTTGTAGCTGCAGTTGCAGTTGTAGTTGCAGTTGCAATAGTAGTAGTAAGAATAAAAGCAATAACAATAATAAAAGTTGTAAATAATAACAAAAGTATTTCAGTTCCTTCTGATCTTCTTATTCCTTTCAATTTTATTCTTTCATTTAATATTCTGTCATTTCAAAGCAATTTCTCGTATTATTTTTAGTAACGAATTCTATAATAAACAAAATCATTCATACAATCATCTTTTCATCATATTTTTCAAGCAATAGGTAAATCAGTCGGGTAAGTGAGCAACAGCAACCGGTAAATCAGTTGGGTAAATCAGCAACAGGAACCGGTAAATCAGTCGAGTAAGTCAACAACACCAATAGGTAAATCAGTCGGGTGTTTTTATGAGAGAGAGAGAGAGAGAGATGAGGAAGAAAGGTAGAGCGGGGGTAGAATTGTAATGAGGAAAAGTTGGCTATCTTATGATCAACAAGTTCTTGTTTGCTGCATGATGCATTATATACATTGATAATTAACAGAATAATATTGTAAATAATTAATCGAAATAATATATAACAGAATAATATTGTAAATAATTAATCGAAATAATATATAACAGAATATATTGTAAATAATTAATCGAAATAATATATAACAGAATATATTGTAAATAATTAATCGAAATAATATATAACAGAATATATTGTAAATAATTAATCGAAATAATATATAAC